TGACCTTGTGGTCCAGTGTTTATCCTACAGCATCATTAGCTACCCAAATTGGATATCTAAAAATCATTGGCTACCCAAAATGGGGGGGCTACAAAAGCTGAAGTGACTGGCTTATAAGCTTTCAAGAGGGAGCCTAGATCCAGAGGGCACAGAGGAAGGTAGAATCTCCACTGAGTAGTATCCAATCTGTCTGGACAGGGCTGATGAAAAGAGATGGGGATAAGACTCTTGTGGTACAATAGTGAATAATTGCTATCAGGACTGACTGAGGGTTGAAAATGTAAAGGTAGACGTTTTGTAACAAAAGGAGGGGAGTGGTTGACTTTGCAGTCCAGGAGAGAAGGTCCCTGGGACCATTAAAGGAGAAGAGTGGAGTGCAGGACCCTACTCAGAGAAGCAGTGATGCCAGAGATGGAGGCAGAGATGATGATGATGGAGCAGCTGGGGGCTCTGGACTCAGGGAGGGAGAGGGGCTGTGTGCTGATGACATCGGTGGGGGTGGTACCCTTTAGTTGTTTGATGATGCAGGGATAGGATTGTAATCATGGCAATGAAATGAAATGCGATAGGATGAATGTAAAGCTAATGTTCTCCCATGTAAACTATCACATAATGCATAATAAAAAAAAAAAATTAAAAGTTCATGGGAAAATTCCATTTTACCATGAACTTTTTGAAATCCCCTCATATCTCCACAGCCTTTGTTCTTTGGGCTTTTGGACAAATTACACACTCATGTTTTACAGTCTAATTTTTTTTCCTGTAGTCCTATTGTGTTGTGTAGGATAAGCACTGGCCCGCAATGTAGGTTTGAACTGCAAGGCCAGAGGTTCAAACTCAATAGCTGCTCCTCAGAAACCCTATCCAAGATTGCTGTGAGTCAGAACCAACTCAACAGCACTTAACAACAACAGATTTTTTTTTCTTTATCTGACTATTGACATAAGTTTGGAGGGTAAAGAATCCTGGGAAAAGCTACCAGTACAGTTCCTCATTAAAACAGAGAGTAAGGGCATTTCTGTAGTCATTTAGCAGAGTTTATTGAGTACCTAGCAAATGGATTTTTCTTCCTTTCCCTAAAGCACAGATGTTCTAAAATAGTAGGCTTGAATCCCTGAGGTCCATTTGTCCTGTTTTATCCACTTTAATATAATCTTTATTTAAAAAAAAAAATGGGGAGAAGTTTATCTGACTTTTGCCTTTTGTGGCCAGAAAAGCAGGCACCCCTATGATTCTCTGTGTGGACACAAAGCTTTCACTGAGGAGCAAATCAAAGCGTTCAGGGTTTAGATCTGAGACTGGAGGAAGTAACCCCAGAGTCATTCACAGTGGGAATTAGAATACACCCCGCCATACTCAGGAAGCGTTTTCCGCAGGGAGAGATGCTTGTCTGTATAATAGGTACAAGTATATATTGTGGCTCCCGCCTTTGAAAACTATGGATTCAGAGCTCACACAGTTTAACAAATGGGACAAGCTGGTGGGTTTTCAGTAGATTCAATAATGACAGGTCGCCTTTTTCCATCATCTCTTGCCTGGTGTGATGCTGTAGGATAAGCACTGGACCACAAGGTCCTTTTGAACCGCAAGTTCGGTGGTTCAAACCCACCAGGCTTTCTCTGAAAACCCTATACAGAGTCACTATGAGTCAGAATCAACTCAATGGCACATAACAACAATAACCATTTGCCAAAATACCTTTTTCTCTTCCTGTTCCATCCTTCAAAAACATATGTGGTTTTTGTTTTGTTTTTTAATTTTATTTTAGGCTTGAATTTACATGTATCTTCTTCCTAAATTCTCATTTTCTTTAACTTATTACACTTCAGTACTTTCTGAATTACTATTCTCAGAAAGCAAAGGAGCCTAGGGGAGTTTCTGTCAATGTTTTTATTTATCACTGACCTTTATTCATAGGTTGTCAGCATCATTTAGTTTTTCTTCATTGAGGTCAATCAAATATTTCTATTCCTGCCTTGCTTATGTGCTTCTGAAAAGTTGCCTAGAAGTAAAAAGTTAAAAATAAATATGATCTTAAATGCCCAGGATAGCAGGCTGTGGTTAATTTTGTTGTAACAGAATCATCATCTCTTTTTGTGTGCTTTGTAAATGCATGTGTACATGTTCTCAGCCCCAAATTTCTATTTGATTTATGTGTGTTTTCCTGAAAGTTTAAATAGTTCAGTTTGGACAAGGCAAAAGTGGTAAAATTTTAAGTGTTGTAATATTACAGTGATATTATAAGTAGGATTGATACTGAGTGGATTATAAATATAATAACAAAATTTAAGGATAACTAAAATGTATCCCTAGTGCATCTTATATCATATGCTACCCCTGTTTTGTGTTTCAGGTACAGAGCCTTCACTTTTTTCTTGACATTTTTGCTGTATGCAAGTTTTCACTTATCTAGAAAGCCTATCAGCATAGTTAAGGTAAGAAATCATTTCTAAAAAAAACAAAACAACCCAACAATAAACCCTCTAAGTTTCATATCTTGTCTGTAATTTGTTTAAGAAACTGGTTACTTCTGAAATCACTTACAAGGAGGAAGTGGTTGATAAAAGAATTATGGAAAACAGATTTGTGTACAGGAAATCAACAAACTATTTTGCTGCTTGGATTTTTAATTTTCCTTTCCTGAAACTAGAAATCTTTCATTTAAATTTAAATCTTAGAGGATTTATAATTTTGGAGGTACTCCTAGTGTGGCACTGGAGGATTACCGCTGGACTACGAAACACAAGGTCGGCAGTTCAAACTTACCAGGTGCTCCTCGGAAACCCTATACAGGGTCTCTATGAGTCAGAACCTACTTGCTGGCACTTAACAACAACAATATACCTTCATTTAGAGTTCCGGGTGTGGTGCTGTAGGATAAGCACTGTACTGCTAACTGTAAGGTTTGTGGTTCAGACCCACCAGTAGCTCCTTGGAGCTATACAGAATTGCTATGAGTCAGAATGGACTTGATAGCACTTAACAACATACTTTTATTTAGGAATCCCTGGAAGCAGTTAAGTGCTCAGCTACTAACTGAAAGGCTGGAGGTTTGAGCCCACCTAGAGGTGCCTTGGAAGAAAGACCTGGTGATCTCATTCTGAAAACATCAGTCACTGAAACCCTGTAGAATAAAATCCTACTCTGATACACATGGGGTCTCTGTAAATTGGAATAGATTTGATGGCAACTGGAACTGGGAATAGTTTTAGTTTTATTAGTTGATAGTTTCAGAATTCTAAAACTTATTTATTTTCTCTTGTTTAAATCCCCCTCCTCCCAATAATTTACTTAAAATTATATTGTTTCCTAAATTGCTTCAATTATTATTAGATTTGACCCTAAGTCAGCTTGTGATTGTAAGTCTCTATTATTCTTAGAACACTGAGTTTCTTTTTGAGTGATGGGCGAGCAGGAGGTTGTTAACTAGCATTTCACTAGACTTTGAGAAAAGAAAATTAAAGTAGCTAATCCTATATAATAGTAAGTTATGACTTGGGTGGGGGCGGAGGGGTGGGGTGACAGGAAGCAGGGTAATTTTCTTATCCTCATTAAAATTATATTATTTTGCCTATAGACTGGTCTCCAGACTTGAATGACATTTGAATCTTTATTGTAAATGGAACAAATAAATTGCCCAGTGCCAATGGTAGCTCATTCATAGTTACGTGGCCCCTTCCTTCCCTCACTTTCCAGCAGTTGGCAGAGAATCAGACCCAGGCCTGCCATTGTGTTGACCTTTGTGGTAGAGCTTCCTCCACGCCCACCAGGTGGCTAGGCACTGAACAAGTTGTTCTCAGTGTCCTGGGGCAAGAGGGAGAGGCCACCCCGACGTGCTGCTTCTGTGGACACTGGCGTGTTCTCTGTTTCTAGTAACTTCCAGTCGATGGGAACCATCACTCATTTACTTAAAATACCCTAAAATTCCTTCTTCATCCCCATTGTTGTTGTCATTGTTTTTAGCACCATTGCCTCAGTTGGTTCCAACTGACAGAGACCCTGTATTGGGTTTCTGAGGAGTGACTGGTAGGTTTGAACCACCAATCTTGAGGTTAGTAACCCAGTGCTTACCCTAAAGCACCATACCAGGAAGCAGGAATCTCCATGCTTTGTGGCGATGGCACAAAGGCACAGAATGTTGTTTTCAAAAGAGAGATAAGGATGAGGAAGAAGGTAGTGGTTTAGTAACCTTGTCAATTACTAGACAGGTGACTCAAAATCTATTTTGTGATGTTAAATAGAGATTCAGTTTTGTTTCTTGTAGTTGGATAGCCAGTGGTGCCAACAATAGTTATTTAACAAATAAAGAAATAAAAAAAACTATGTTTTTCCCATCGACTCTGTTAAATAATCAAGATTTTCTATTTTATTTTGTTGACTTATTCCCAGGGCAATACTATCAAACTTTGATTTAAACCGATTGCTGTGGAACTAACTCTGACTCATGACGACCCCATGAGGTCAGGGTAGAACTGTGCTCCATAGGGTTTTCAATGGCTGGGTTTTCAAAAATTTCAAAACGCCAGGCCTTTTCTGTGGAGGAGTGTCTGGGTGAATTCAAACCTCCAACCTTTTGGTTAGCGGCCAAGAGCATTAACCGTTGTACCACCCGGCGTCTCCAATCATTTTATTACAGTGGCTTAAAATATGTATGATCTCATTCATACTTCTTAGATATTATCTCATATAAACCTTAAGATTCATTCAGTTGGGAAGATATATTGGGAAAATGCTGAGGTTTTCTTTGGAGTTGCAGTGCATTTAAGTATTAATATGGAGCATATTGGAACTTTCAAGACACCAAGTTTTCCCACCCAGAATCACATGTCCTCTCAGTGTTTCAAACTGTTTTCTGGCTGCCACCTAGGTTTGAATATAATTTTCTTCTTACAAGCCGTGTATGGCTGGAGAGAGTTGACCATGCTCCTACTAATCCATGTCACCATTTTGCATCTGGGGTCCAGAGACCCCTGCAGCCTAAGCTCTTCCTAAGAATCATCCCCCTCCCATCATTCACAATAGATTATATATGGAATAAAGGGAAAATCTAAGAATAAATTGATGATCACCTTAGGTGTATGAACTTAGAAAACTCAAAGAACAGTAGACAAAGGTGACAAATAGACAGTTCAAAGACATAGAATTCAAATTTCCAAGAAATACATGAAGTACTTTGAAGTTTATTAGCATTCCCAATGTAAATTAAAGTGACAATGTGAGTATATCTCTTTATACTCATCACCTAGCAAAAAAAAAACATTAAAGAGAATGGCCCCTATTGCTGGCAGTGATGGATGAGTACTTTCAGGCATTGAGGCTAGGAATAGAAAATGTCTCAGCCTTTGGAAAGAAGGCTGGTAACATCCATTGAAATAAAAATTTACACATATCCCTCAGTTCTACTTCTGGGAATTTCACCCATAAGAATAAATTATGTATACTTAGGGATAGCTGCATAAGCATCTTTTTAAGCAAACCAAAATGCCTGAATACTGACTGAGTCTAATCAGGAGGGGAAAGGCTAACTAAATGATGGTAAACCCATCTTAGGAGATGTGCAATTTTCTGAAAAGAGTTAGACTTCCAGAAAGTATTTGAGTCAGAGGAATCAAGATGTACAGAGGTCTATATAGTATGATTCTATTTATGAAGACTAAAGTAGTTTCCTTATATATTCTATTTCTGTGTACATTTGTGAGAGGGGTAGGTGTTTGTACATGCCTGTTTACGTGTGCGCACACATTTTTCGTGGCTCACTTGGATGGAATCCAGTCACATTCAGGTGCTGTGGTAAGTCAGGTGCCCGGTCTAGTTTAGCCATCAGCCTTAATTTCCCTTCTAGGATCTCTCCTGGATGTTGCTTTGGAAAGTTCTTTTAACAATCTTATAAATGGAGTATAAAGGATTAGTTAGGATAAATGAACTCATGTCATCTAAGGAACCATATTGTTGTTGTTAAGTGCTATCAAGTTGATTCTGACTTATAGCGACTCTGTGTAGGGTTTGCACGAAGCAGTTGGTGGATTTGAACGGCCAGCCTTGTGGTTCGCAGTTCAGTGCTGATCTTACAGCACCACACTAGGAGTACAACAAACCATATAGAGTTTGTTAAACTTACCGACCAAAATGTAGATATCTGTGCACACACACACCTTGGTCTATCACTTATGTATCATCTGAAGGTGGCGTGGAGGATGTGGGGAAGGAGGAGGGAGCTTGTTGTTAAGTGCCGTGGAGTCGGTTCCGACTCATAGTGACCCTATACAGGGTTTCCGAGGTTGTAAATCTTTACGGGAGCAGAAAGCCTCATCTTTCTCCTGCGGAACTGCTGGTAGTTTTGAACTGCCGACCTTGAGGTTAGCAGCCTGATTCGTAACCACTATGCTACCAGAGCTCCCTAGAGCTCCTTTTTAGGGAGGTCGAAATATCCACTCTGACTATCTTGTCCTCATGATCACCTTGCAGTGTCTTCTGTGTCCTTCCTGCCTCGGACTTCCTGTCACTTCCTGTTAGAGGCGGAGCAGCTGTGTAGGAAGAGGAGCAGCCCTGGCTGTATTCTGAGGGCCCAGACATTGCTGAGAAGCTAGGATGTGCTCACCAGATGTTTTTGGAATAAAAGAAAGAGTGGAGTTTCTCAGTGTGAAGTTAGGTGTTCAGATGAATGGAAGAATGTATTGTTAAGTGCTGTTGAGTTGTTTCTGGCTCATAGTGACCCTGTGTAGGGTTACTGAGGAGTGACTTGTGAGCTTGAACTGCCAACCTAGTGGTTCAAATTGACCTTGCAGTCCAGTGCATTAGCCTACAGCCCTCACATTAAATATATGTTATTATAGTTGATATTTGTATTTAAAGGGCTGTGTTGTTGTTGCTGTTAAGTGCCATCAAGTTGATTTGGACTCATAGTGACCCTGTATAGGTCTTCTGAGGAGCCACTGGTGAGCTTGAACCACTGACCTTGTGGTTCAAACCGACCTTGCAGTCCAGTGCATTAACCCACAGTAGATCTGCTCAAGTGTAGAATGCAAGGAAACTCATTTTTTTCTTGTGTATTCTTTCTGTGGAAAAATGCCTGTTATATCTGCCTTCCTTTTTATTTTTAAATTTTCAGTTTTGTCCATTGGGTGAAGATTTACAGAGCAGATCAGTTTTCCATGCAACAATTCATACACACTTTCCTCCATCTCATTGATTGCAGTCCCCACAATGTAACATCACTTATCCCACTTCCCCTGGGTTTCCCTTTTCCATGACTCATTCTTTCCTAATCCTTCTCAACTTTGTCCTCGGGTAAATGCTGCCCTCTTTGATCCCAGATGATTGACGATTCTAAGGAGGGCATGTTTTCTTTACTGCTACTGTTCCCATTATAGACCTATCTATTTGGCTGAAAATTGAGCCATGGGGAAATAAGTTCCTTTCCAGACCTGAAGAGTGA